AGTGTACATGGAAATTGCCTAGGTAAATTCAGCTCTTTATCTTTTTTCTTTTTTTGAGGAAGTTTATATCGAAAGAGAAAGAGAAAACAAAGAGGAAAAAGAGAATGAATTTCACTCAACAAAAAGCAACCATGTTAATGCAAGTAAAAAATGAAGAATGCATATAATAGAAAGAAACTCCATCGTAATCCTATAGGAACTCTCCATAAAGCTCAGTTTGTATGTGATTGTTCGAAAGCTATGAATAGAGCATCCTTGACCTGGTAATTGGGGGAACTAGCACTGCAAGAAAGAAGAAGACAGAGATTGTCAAACCCCAATTCTCAAAAGCTATCTTACAAATATAAATAAATATCAATAATGATAAAAAATTGCAAGAGACACACACCATCTACTATGATTGATAAATAAATAGCTATGCCCCCAAACAGTCACAACATTTGGCGTTAAAACCAATACACATAACATTACAATTAAACACGAACAAAATTACAAAAAGGAGATGTGTAAATTTGTATACCTCTCTCTCTCCAATCATATATTAATGTGCAGATAGCAAGGTTAAGTGTATCGCAATCTCTCACCATCCATGTTATCTCCTATATAAACAATTAAAGATAAATTTTATGGGCTTTTTGAGACCAAGACAGGTTCATCGCATCTACAGAAAAATAATGGAATTTTTTCACCCTAAAAAGGAAAACTTCGAAAGGCAGAGACACCTTGGTGGTACCTAGTTGATAATCTGGATAGACATAGAGGGAAATACAATATTGCATGACTGTAAAAAATTTAACGAAATATGGTGATGTGTTCAAATACAATATTGCATGTATGTTTTTCCATAATCCGATCCTTGAAAGACCTCAGAGAAAGACTTCCATAGAGCTGCAAATCTTGAAGATTCGGTCAAAAAAATGTTTCGATATGCTAAGGACAGGGTACTTGATTGAGGCCAATCTAATACCATTCATTGAAGCCAAAAGAGAGTAGATCAGTAGATCAGAGAGAGAAAAGAGAGTAGATCACTAGATTGTTAATGGGGACGTGAATCAATGAAATATGGATTGGCCCTCACCGAGAACATGAGTAAGGAGTAGTTTTGGGATTTATCTAGAGTAAAATTTGAGTAGTTACAGTATATATATAAGACTATGGCTACATATATATAAATATGTATGAATTAGATTATTTCAAATCAAAAATATCTATTTCTAAAAAATATCTATTTCTATTTTAATATTTATATTTTTATCGCATATACATGTGTCTCTTCCATAATGTAAACCATCCGCATCTTAGTCACGTTTTTGTCTTTCTCTCAATTTTTATGTGGTTTTCTCATTTTTGGGCTTTGGAGCTAGCCGATTGTGAGCTCAGCTCGGCTTATTTTGGCTATAATCAACTCGGCTCAGCTCCCTTCCGATCGGTTCATAATAAATTCTCTTGAGCTGAGCTGAGCCGATAAAAGTTGAGCCTAACCAAAATAAGCCGAGCCGAGGTAGCCAACTCTAGCCAAAACTGAGACCGACCAAAAAAACCCAAGGAAAACAGAAAAATTTTAAAAAACCAAATAAAAAAAAACAATTTGTAAAAAATAATAAACAAATTCCTATTAAATAAAAAATCAAATAAAAAAAACAACCAATCAGCCAATTTACTGGTCACGGGTCAAACCGCTTCGGGGCCATGTCCAATTAACCATTCCGGAACACAAGAAAGAGGAACAGTCTATTTGAGAGAGTGAAATGAAGGGGAGAGAGATGACTCGTATCAGTTCACATTGTAAAGCAAAGAATTGGGATATAGAAACCCTAATTAACTTCTACAAATTTGAAGATTGTCTATTTGTAATTTTTAGACAATAATTTGCAGCTGAAACGAAAAAACAAAGTTTAATTTGGGAATAAAAAATGATGTCTAAAATTTGCCTATGTTATAAAATTCCACAATTTTGCTATATTAAAATTTCACTGAATTACGTTAAAATTTCACTGAAATTCTACAAATTTCAGTGAAATTTGTAATAGTTTTTTTTTTTTTTCGTATTTTCACTATGTTATTTTTTCTCAATACCTCGGCTCGGCTTATATAGGCTTGGCTCGGCTTGTATCGGCTCGGCTCGACTTACATCGGTCATTCTTCTGTTGTCATTCGATACCTGAAGACTTTCCAATCCTCATATGTTTTCATTTAGCATGTGTCAAATTGTGTCTAAGTGTCTAATTATTTCAGGTAGTACCTGAAGATCAACGCAGGGCTCTTTATCCAACTCATTCTTTCAAGATTCTATTCTTCTGTTGTCAGGCTCGACCTACAGGCTCAACAAAAGAATAAAATAAGTCGAGCTTGGCAACAGAAGAATATATTCACATAGAACGACAACAGAAGAATATATTCACATAGAATGACATATATTCACATAGAATGACATATATTCACATAGAAAGACATATATTCACATAGAATGACATATATTCACAATATATTCACATAGAAGAATGTATTCACAATATATTCTATGTGAATATATTCACATAGAATGACAACAGAAGAATATATTCACACAATGACAACAGAAGAATATATTCACATGTCTAACTATTTTATTCTTCTATTGTCATTCTTCCGTTGTCAGGCTCCACTTACAGGCTCAACAAAACCTGATATGTTATTGCAGAGGAATATAGGCTGATTAAATTTTTCATCATGCACATAAAGCTACCAAAGGTGACACCATAAATCATTGAGGAGACATGAACAACCAAACAGACACACATGAGTTCATCATTATTCCTTTTTCAAAGACTATTTAACTCATGATTATGATTAGGTACAATGACATATCAAACAATAGATAATATCAAAGGTTGTAACATAAGGAACTGTCAAAACATACAAACATTTTAATGGAATTACATGAAAACAGATATTCTAACTGCTGTGACTTTTTTGTTTTGGCGAGGTCCATAGTTGTTCATTATGAACATGGGCAACCCATCTTAAAAGGAGACTGGGTTACACTCCAACTAAATATATATAAACTTAACAGTTCAGATTCACTACTCAAGAAGAATTGTGAATGACAAGAGAAGAATATATTCACATAGACATATATTCACATAGAATGACATATAATCACATAAAATGACATATATTCACAATATATTTACATAGAAGAATGCATTCACAATATATTCTATGTGAATATATTCACATAGAATGACATAGAATGACAACAGAATAATATATTCACATGTCCAACTACTTTATTCTTCTGTTGTCATTCTTCCGTTGTCAAGCTCGACTTACAGGCTCAACAAAACCTGATATGTTATTGCAGAAGAATATAAGCTGATTAAATTTTTCATAATGCACATAAAGCTACAAAAGGTGACACATCATAAATCATTGAGGGGACATGAACAACCAAACAGACACATGCGTTCATCATTATTCCTTTTTCAATGACTATGTAACTCATGATTATGATTACGTATAATGACATATCAAACAATAGATAATATCAAAGGTTGTAACATAAGGAACTGTCAAAACATACAAACATTTTAATGGAATTACATGAAAACAGATATTCTAACTGTTGTGTCTTTTTTGTTTTGGCGAGGTCCACAGTTGTGCATTATGAACATGGACAACCCATCTTAAAAGGAGACTGAGTTGCACTCCAACTAAATATATATAAAACTTAATAGTTCAGGTTCACTACTCATGAAGAATTGTGAGAATTTAATTGATCCAGACATTTACTGATCACATATTCGTCGTGCACTACTGATGATGAAACCATGATCCATCCAAAAAAAGATTCAAGTATATAGGAAGTTGCAGATCCCAAACAAGAACATCAGAAGAAAGCCCAAAGAGTAAATGCATCCAATTTTGCATTGATAGAGAGGAACTGGACTTTTAGCAATTCACAGTCAACATCATATATGGATCTAAAACAATTCTCGTTAAATGGGAAAACTCAAAGTGGGTGAAAGAGTCCCTTCCCCAGACTTTAGTGACCTTGCAAAACTCCCTAAAGGAAACCTTTGAGCATAAGTTAGCAATAACAATTCAAGTCCCAACCAAAACACACTAAAGAACATAAGAAACAAGACTCAACTCCCAAACTTCCTCTCAATGATAATTACAAAAGGGATAATTGTGAACAATCTCATATCAATGGCAAAAGCTCAGACACTACCGTAATTGCATTAAGCAGCAAACAAAACCAATAAAAAATGTATCCAACCTGAGACACTGACCTACAACTGTTAGATATATGGTATCCAACATGGACAAGAATGACAAATTCAACTGTGAATTTTTTGAATATGAACTATCAATCTGTTAAAGGCATGATCCAAGAAAAAGGGAGAAAACAAAAAATCACATACTAGTTGATATTTTTAAAAAGTAACTATGACCTCAGGAGAGGGAATTTAAATGAAAGCCATAATCAATATAAAAGGTAAGGTCAGCAACCAAACTTATAAACTGCTTTACATACTTGAGGTCAACTCCCATAATTTGTGGATTCAATGGAAGATACTCAATCACCTATAGAATGAATCAATGACAACATCAAAATCAAAATCAAAATTTTCTCTTTAACCAAAAATAACTAATAAGTAAAACTCAAGCAACAAAAGGACTGTTTCCATGTATGTAACTCCGAAACAGCAACCATCATTAACAAATCACAGAATTTGGACAGAATATATATGGATCAGAGGCGAAGTTACTCCATCTTATCAATCCAAGAATCCCAAACATAAATATTGATGATTATTCTGGAAGCTTACTACGTAAGGCCACCAGCCTGCATATACAGACTGTTGATGGAGAGAGGTTAGGTTTTCGGGCTTACGTGACGGATCCATCTTGGTAGTGAAGGACTTGAAGGAGAAAACGAGACCAAACATGAGCTTGTGATCCTGTTGTGGACTAAGGGTTTTGAGGGGACAAAGCCATTCCCTGTAAAAGAGGCAAAGCCCATTCCGATTTGATTTAGAAGGATACAAGAACATGCTAAAATACAAGAATTAAATTCTGGATAGTTTTTAATTTATATTTCAAATATATTGGACGAATTACCCTTCAACATCATCACAAGAAAAAAATCAACACCACACTTCATACATATTAAAAAAATGGGGAGCGTAGAGAGAGAAGCAAACACAATTATCAGACTAAGATCAAGCAGAGACTAATGACAACTAAGGATTATGTTTAAGTTTTCAAGTTTCTAAGAAAGTTGAGAAGATTGCTTCTCTGCTTGTGTTAGAGTGAGAATTGGGACCATCTTGCTCTCGATGAGCTCTTCTCCTGTAAAGGCCACCAAAATAGTTTCTCCTTTTTGGGTGGCTCTCGTTGTTGAGCTCGCCATCTTCGTTTGAAGTACCCTTCGCCATTTTCTTGATTGTAAAAGTAGAAGAAAAAGATTAATGGATTTCTGATCAATGACTAATGAAGCCTTATGGTCTAAACTAGAGGAAGATATTTGAAAAGATTCGTGCTGGCTGGTTATGTGATCAAGAAATGCATTGAGAGAGATGGATCAGTTTCTGATCAAGATACGCAGAGAGAGAAAAGAGAGTAGATCAATAGATTGTTAATGGGGACG